GTTAATAATATTAAATTTTTCTTTGTTAAAAAGGAGAGGCCAGGCTATATAAATTCTAAAATATTGCTGTGTATTTTATTTCTGCTTTGTTTTTTTTTTTTTTTTAAGTTGATGCTTTTTCTCTTGAGTTATTCGAAAAATATTTAAAATGGCTGTTTGGGAAAATACAGGTAAACGATTTTTTGCAGAAAATGGGAAAAAATACAAAAAGCTGCTTTTGTCTTTGTTTAGATGAATTGGATTTTTCTCATTTTTTTTCACGGCAAATATGTTCTGACTTTAGAATTTATATACTAACCTGCAAAATATATTTAGGTACAGTTGGTTATAGGTGACAGCTCTATTGATCTAAAAGCTCACTCAGAACAATCCTGAATGAATCTTCAGTTTGTATAAAAGTGGTATTTGCAATTTTCATTAAACCTCCGAGTTAAAAAAGAATAGTAGGAAAATACAAGCTGGCTTTGGTTCAGAAACCAGTTCTGATAGTTTAAAACCACAAACACATTTGGTCTGAAACTCAGAATATTACAATGGCTAGTGAAGGATGGATCCATCTTCTTCATCTTTTGCCTTCAGTAGATGGGTATGTGTGATACAGGTGGTGCTGTGTGACATGGACGGGTGTTTCTCCAGAAGAACCAGTGTTTAGTGGAAATGGTGACTGCCTGGAGTCATGGGGTGTATCTTGCCTGTGTCTGCAGAGCCGTCATTTCTCTGCTGTGCTTGCCAACAGGGTGTGTGTTCTTGTGGAGTGATGTGTAATCCTCTCCACCAGAACATGGAAGCATGACTTCAAGAAGTGTTTAGCCTTTAGAAAAAAGAAGTGTGTTGCCTATCCAAAGTTAAATGGTTGCATGTGGGAGAAAAATGCTCAAATGTTTTCTTGAAAGTCTGAAGCTAAAATGGGGGAATACGGTGTAACTGGGGAGAAGTCAAGCTGATGATGATCTATTCCCTTTCCTCTTGCAGCTAGAAAGTTTGAGAGTGAGCATGTTGATTTCAAAGCAGTTTGTGGATATGGCTTGTTGTTTTTTCTTTTATTTATTTGACTGTTAAATACTGCTGGAGAGTACAATATGAGCACATGGGTGAGGGGAGCATTTCTGTAACAGTTCTTCACTGTTACAATCCTATTTTCTGCTTCAGTAGGAATGACTGGGAACTTTGGTGAGGATGAAACTTAGTCCTAGAGGAAATAAATTTCTCTTAAGTTATTGGATCTTAATTAAGATCCATTAAATGACTCTTAAGGGTAGGGGATGTCTTTCGTGTCTCTACAGCTCCTGGCATGCAGGTGGCCTGTTCCCTGTATGAACATTTAGGTTTAGTTTAATAAAATGAATAATAATAATAAGCTCCTATGCCCTCTTCTAATGCTGAAAGACAGTTGTGAAGATCTCTGAGAAAACTCTGAGTGCGTGTCACTCTCTCTCAGAGCACAGACAGGTCTTGGGAGTGTTAAAAGCAGAGGAAGAGCTCTGTCTGCATCATGACTCCTGTCAGCTCCTTCTCTGAATTGGTGTGCTGGGAGCTCCCAGCACATAGTAGCAATTAATCTTAACCATTGGCTTAAGACCTGGAGGAGAATGAAAAGGGGAGTCAAAGTGAGATGTTCTTCATGGATCCCTGGTGGGAGAGCATGCAGACCTCCTTAAAAGTACAGCTGGAAGCAGCCTAGCCAAATAACAATTCAACTATAAAGCAGAGGTCTCGGTTTCGGCCAGCGTTGCTGAATTTGTCCTGTTTCTATAAGGGCCCAAAGTTGAATCAACAAGGAGCTCACTAATATCCTATCCAGATCCATTCAGAATCAGGTGCAGAACTCAACACAGCAAGGCCATTTTGGGAGTTCTGAAGACCGTGTGCGTCATGCATGCAATGGGCCTAGTCTTGATATGCTGGTGATATAGAGTCATTCTGCATGTCATGATGCATGTGACTAGATCAGATAGGCTTAGTGTCAGGTCTATTGTGTATTACGTTCCTGCCATGTTTCAAAACATAGGCATTGTCATTTAAGTATGAACTTGCTTGAACTTCTCTGTAAATTCACAAGCATCTCGCTGATGTAAATTATTCTGATATTGCCAAATCCTTTTCTTATGAATGTGAGAGTCATGCTGAGTTTGATATTTTGTTGGGAAATCTTAGGCTTTCTCTTGGCAGCATAGTATAAAGGTATAGTTTGTGCCCAACAACAGCACTTGCATTACTGAGAAGAATGGACATCTGGATGCATTGACAGGTTTTCATTCTGTTTTTGCTTTCCATGCATCACATATTCGGCCTGCTTTCTGAGAAGATACAGTTTATTGGAAATGGTTAAGATTTTGAAACAGCATTACAAGTTTATGCATGTAAGCTAGCAATTACAATGTCTTACGTGCAAACAAAATTTTTCATACCCATCATAACTCATACCATTTGTACCTTAGAGAGGTCTTGAATTATAGGAGAAAAAAGGAAAGAGAAGGAGAAGAAAATGGCAATACTAGGAGCACAGGAATCTGACATTAAATCTTTAAGTTCTGCCCTGACATGTTAGAACAAAATCCAGTCAAAATCTGGGCAAGTGCCTGGGTACTACTTGTCTAAAGCTCATGACGGATCTACATCCTGTCCCTTCCCAGGCCTTATGGACTCATGGCACCATCCCTGTTTCCTTTAAAGATCCTCCCATGTAGCAGATGAGTGTTCTGTAGTTCTTGGAAATCTGTGGTCTGGAGTCTGTAATCTAGAGAAAGACTTTCTGAATCCTGGACATTTTCATGCCAATGCTCTGGCTTCATGCAGACAGCCCTCTTTGGAAGAAAGGCATGCGTGTGCAGGCAGAAGATCTGTGCTGGCAATGGCAGGGGGCAGTTGTACAGCAACTGCAGAGCAAACTCATTGTGGGTGACTGATGGTTTCTTCTTTGTTGCTCCCCTATGGACCCAGAGGTACAAGTATCCTCTCTTGCAATTTAATATTTGCTCTAATAAACATACTACTGAAAGCAAACAGGCAAAACAGAAGTATTTGGAAGGATTCAGAAACTGTGGAGGCAGTGTAAAAGAGACATTAAATGAGGGTGAACTTTGAAACAAGTCAGTATCACATATTGATAGGTTTCAATTAAAACACATGCCTTTAATATAAAGGGGAAGCTTTAGGAAGTGATAGTACTAAAAGATTTAGTTGCAGATGGGTAGATTATTAGACCTGGTTTTGCAAAATCTTGTAATGATCAAAAAAAGTCAGTGTGGTTTTGAATCCTGAACTAGATTTGGAGAGAGAGATATATCTATCTATTTATTTATTTATTTTTAACAGAACAGTTTTTCATCAGAAAATACTAATCCATTGAAGAAGTGACATTTTTGTAGGAATGTGGTAGGTGAGGGAGAACTTATTTTGGAAAAGATTCCATATATCTAAGGTTATTCTCTCTTTTTGCCTGATGGTCATGGCGTACTACTGGGCTATGAAAAAATCACCGTTGAAGTCCTTGGTCTGGCTTTCTCTTGCAATCCATGCTCTTAAGTGAATACTGGCTGTTTTGCTGCTGGACCTGATTTGTACTGTGTAAATTATTTACTGGAACAGGTACTCAGAGCTGGGTCTTCCTCATACTGGGTGAATGTTCTAACCATGTATCTGTAGACGGCACCTCTGCTTCTTTATATGTTTATGAAGACTAGAACAACTCCTGTAAAAGAAACAGAGAGATCCCTGTGTCCACAGCAGCCTGGGGAATCACCTGAAATATATAAGAATTGGGAGATAGGGGGATGACAGCTATGGCCTTTAGTGTGGGTCCTCTAATTATTGTTTCCTTTTCCATGAGGAATGTAATCTAAAGGGTTTATTCTTGTTTTGGTTCAGAATGCAGTCTTTCTTTCAGGTCTGGGATTCAATATGTTGTCTGCCTCTCCTGTCTTCCACATTTGAACAGAGCTCTGAGTTTCCTTTCTCACCAGCTTTATCTATCATTATCTTGTGTTTTTTATGTGTTTCCTAGACAAATTGGCTCATAAATTGGAATTCTGAATGAAATTTTACTTTAGTTTTCAGTCCTGAGTATTGCAGTGGTCAGGAAGATGCTTTGTGTGAGTCTTGATGGCAGACTGTGCATGTAGAGGTGTTCTCCCCCCGCCAGGCCTTTTCCTCAGCCTAGCATGAGGTGAGAATGGAAAGTTTCTTTTCCTCTTACTGCTACCAATCCACACATTGATGCCTGATAGGAAAAATTAATGCTCTCGAGGTTACCATATTTTTCATATGTATACACTGTGGGTTATCTCTGGCTTTTGAGAGTTTTGTTTGTTTTTAAACGCGGGCCAAGTCAAACCCTGCGGTTTAGCAGCAGTGTGTATTGTGTGTGTAGGGATAATAGGAGAGAAGTTTTATTCCAGGGTTCCTTCCTCAGTAGTATCCTGGTCTCTCATGGCTTATTATCTGTGAACTTTTTTTTTTTTAAAAAAAAACCAAAACTTTTTAAGAGGTCCAACTTACCTGAAGCAGAGATTATATATGTGCAAATACAGTGCTATTATTCTAGGCCTCTGGGATATTATTGGTCTACAAAATATATGGAGGCTAATAGAAATGGCTGTTTCGTGGCGTACCGTGTACTGTTTGTTACTGTGGGACTATAAAACTTGATTTGCTTGTCAGTCTAAGCAGACCTAGCACACAGTAAACAACCCATGTAGTAAATCAAGGTGCCATGCAGTCACCACAGAAGTGATTTTCAAAAAAAATATATATCGTGTTCAGTTAGGAGAATATGTGCTAAATATCCCCATTATAAATCATGAGTCAGAATCACAGAAGAGTGATTAGTCAACTTGCAGGTATTTTTCCATTTATATTGCCCTGTAAAAGTAAATAGTTATTTTTCATTTCTTTATCATGTTGGTTACAACAAGATCTATTGACTTGGGATTTACCAGGAGCCAGTAACTTTTCATATTGTTGATTTCCTCCACCATCCCCAATTTCCCTTCTTTTCACAGAATATCTCCATGCATAACACAGTTGGAGGAGCAATGGCAGGACCTGGATCTCACCAGCTGACAAATACAAGGATGCCAAACCATGACACCAGCGTCGTGATTCAACAAGCCATGCCATCTCCACAGTCCAGTTCAGTCATTACGCAAGCACCTTCCACAAATCGACAGATTGGGTAAATCCATTTCCATTTTCTCATTTCTCCAGTTTTCTGGCTCCAGCAGCTGCATGTAGGACCAGATGTTGTCCTCGTGTTCTTAAGGTTCAGCATGCAGGACCAGATGTTGTCCTTGTGGTTCTTGAGGTTACAGAGCTCGCACTTGATCCTGCCAGCATGTGGCAAGGAGCCCTGCAACATGCGTTGCAGACTGTGGAGGAATGGCCAGGATACTACATCTACTCCAGACCTGGCACTTTGGTTCAAAAGGGGCAGAGTGCTGTACTTGCAGGGAAGTCCTGCTTCCTCCTTCCAGTTTTTTGTTTTTATCTGCTTACATTCAAAAATTGTTATTTCTATAACTGCTCTGGGAAGAAAGAGTATTTCTGAAGCTGATCCTTTCACTTCCTTCAATGGGAATTCTGGGTGCTCAGTGGGATTAGGCTATTTCCTAGGTACTCTGTTTAATTGAGGAATGCTAGAAGACAAACTAAAAAGACCATCAAGATAAATGGAGTTTGGCACAGCCACCTCTGTGAGCAGTTGCTCAATTTGTGATGATGGATTGATATTTATTCCCATAGATTGACAGTATGGATGCTTATTGTATGTGCTTGTATGCCAATTTTGTGCTCATGTTTGGAGAACTGTGTGTACAAAAACATATGTGTCTTGTACACTCAGTTACTTCCAGCATACATGAGGTCCTTATAAGTCACAATAACTTGCTTTTAATTATACAGAAACTGCCCAGACGGTTTGAGGGTACAGGTTTTTTTGTCACACAAGTCTGAGAATTTGGGGGGGGTTTATGCATGAAAACATGTGGATAAAAAGATAAATCAGTGGACTGAGAATGAAGCAGCAGTCTAGATTCATTATCTGTCATTTGTAATTTGGTTACATCCATTATATGATAAGTGCAAAAGCAGTCTCTGTCCCCAGCCATTGTCTAAATAATTGATGAGCAACTTGCAGTCTCTTCAGAGTAAAACCAAAAAGTGAAATCCTGGCATTGAAAACTCAAAATCCAGTTATTCTTGAATTTTCTTTCAATATTCCTGATGGCTGGGACAGGATATAGACCACAGGCTCCGTGTCTCCCAGTGCTGTGGTGGCAGGGATGGCCCGTGGCACTGACTGCTCTGTAAGGGTTACCCAGCCACGCGCAGGACACAGTTTCCATCCACTGCCCCAGTTTTGTGCTCCTGGCCAAGCTCCTTCACTTTCCTTTTTTACTACTGTTTCAGGATTTGGTTCTTAGTATAGAAATCTGATAGAATGGGTAAGGTAAACATATTTGATAGATGTGCCTTTGTATATGTTACATATTGACAACACACAGCGTTCACTGAGGTTTCACGTGCAATACCGTTCACCTCTGAATCCAAGAAAGTTGTTGTCTTATATATGTCCCATTCTGTTCAAAGACAAGGGGCTTGGAGAGAGGTGGGTAGGGAGAAACATTTTCTTTTTCAGTTTTAAAAAGAGAAATAGCTAATGCCACTATTTGGGTTAAGGATGATTAAGCTCCTGTTCAAATTGTGACTTAATAGGTCTAGTGGTAATTATGATCCTAATTACAAACAAAAAAACCCCAAACAACTTTAATACTCGGTGGTGAGGTGTTTTATATAGGATTGTACTTGGCTTCCAAACAATTGTTTCTATATAATGAGGAAAAAACTGCATGTGTTCTTGCAAGACCCTGTCAGTCAGGTTTTAGGTTTGTGTTGGTTTGGGGCCATGGTGATTAGAATCTCTAAAGTTGGAGGGGCTGAGGATAAAAAGGCCTATTTCCTAGTCAGTGGTGAGCATCTTGTTTGGGAAACTTTGTCATGACATATCTTAATTCTCCCCTGTGTCTGAATCACACAAATGTTTCCTAAGTCTGAGTCTAAAGCTGCTCTATTGGGAGGCAATTGTCAGCATTTTAGTCTCTGTGTGAGTTGGTGTGTGAATGAGACTTATGGTGTGACCTCCAGCATACTCTGTTCCCCATTCTTCCCTCTTCCTAGGAGGTTTTGTTTTTTGTTCATGGTGTGTCCTAGGAGATAATTGCTGCATTTTGGACTTCATCTACTTGCCAAAGTGTTGAGCATCCTTGTTGTTTGTCGTCTTTTCCTTCAGTCTTTTCCCTGTGGTGCCTGTTTTATTTATTCAGAGAACTTATCTTGTCATTTCCATTTATCTTCATCTTACCCTTCTAATCGTGCTAAGAATTATATCCAAGACTCATTCACAAGGAATACAGACTGGACAATGATTCCAATATTGGGCTGCTGAAGAAAAATCCAGATAGATTCAGAAGATGTTTGAGTTCTGCAAAGTTTGGTGGTTTTGTTTTGGCTTGAAAAAGTTGAGCTTTTTAACAAGCCCACATTCTGAGGTGCTCAAATCAGTGGTTCTGGGTTGGGTTCCCCCTTTTTTTTAAAACATCTGAAGCTGCCCTGAAGGGTAGATGAGTCCTTACCATGGAGAATTGTGCCAGGGAATATGCCTTTTAATGAGCAATAAAGACAGCAGAGAGCAACTGGGTAAAACTCTCATTGAGCTAGTTTTGTAAGAGCAGGATAGAGCCCTAAAGGTTATATAGAACCATCTTGTAGCAATATTCTGATTTTTATCACAACCACAAATATTTTAGTGTCAGACTATGGCCAAGCCACCTGCAAATGTTTGTGATGGCCTTACTCCAATGAAAACAGGGAACAGCAATGAAAGTCTTCATTTAGACCCTGCTCTTAGGCTGTTCTCCAGTAACAGAGAATGGGACCCACCTGTGCCCGCACACAGCTCGTTTCATGGTGAGGAGTGGGCGAGTTCAGAGCAGCTGACGTTCCCGAGGGATGTAATTTTTCCTTACTTTCGCCTCTCCCTCTCTTTTTCCTCCCTCTCCCTCCCTCTCTGCCTCTCTCTTTTCCTATCCCCTCCTCAGGCTCTGGGGGCTTGCGTATAAAATGAGATATTGACACAGGGCATGGGAAAACATGACAGAATGAGCGTTGTTGGGCAAGCCTTACTGGCACGGTGTATATACACACATTGTTTCAGGTATTAAGCTTCAGCTACTACTGAACAGGCATGCAGCCAGATTAATCAGAAAAGGGTAAGAGCATGGAGGTTAGTAACTTAAAAAATACGACAGGGTGCAGTCCCACTTTCCTCCCACCGTGTGCCTGGTTGAGAACAAACAGTAACATTATCATTTCAGCAAACTGGCAGGTTGGTATAAAGGTCCCAGATAGTATTTATGTGTTGAGGCAGTCTCTAACCTCCTTGCTGTCCCTCCTCCCTCCCCCCCCCCCCAACCCTTTACCAAGCGGGGGGAAGCGTTTACATAGCAACCCCCCCCCCCCCCCAAGCCTTTAGCATGTGGGAGGAATGCTGTAACTAGTAACTACTTGTGCTGATGAAAAATCAGTTGAGGAACACTTAGCAGTGAAGGGTGTCTTTGGCTGATTAATAGCACATCATTTGGAGATAAGATACATGGAGGAAAAGCAGTAAGGCATATGGAGGAAGGAGAGAAAAAATGATACAAGACATACATTTGTCAAAGGTATAGAAAGGCAGATAAGCTGAATCAGCTAAAAATACGGGCCTCTGAACTAGGCTGTAGACGAGCGGTGTTTGTCTTTTTTTAAAATAACTCCATTATTTCAGTGACTGAGAATTCAGCAATGTATGTGAAAATTATGGTCAGACAAATTGGTGACAACACAGTACACTGGTTGCTTTATCTGGGCACGTCTTTTGCTAGGTAAGATGTCTTTTTCAGACCAGCAAAGACTGTAGGTGGCTACAGCCTAACAGCTCAGAGTTTCTGGAGAAAGTAACCTGCTGCTGATTTTTCAAGCTAGTAGCAGACAGGGCTAGTAATTTTTCCAGCTTGAAAGTCACTGGTACAGCTCTGTAGCTGAAAGGGAACACAGGAGGATTCAGGGTTGTCACAGATCCAGCAAATTGTTAACACTGTACTAAATGGAGAGGGAGATGTGAGTCCAGTTTCAGTGAACTCAGGCTCCAAAGTGGACATAGAGCACTAACCATGTGATGTAGATTATCTGTTTTCAAAGTGTTGTAGAGCATTTTAATCAAGATAAGATGGTCTTCTGGCACAGCATCAGAAGGGAAAAATTGCAACCACATTTGATGAAATGCAAGCAGGTAGGAGAAGGCAACAAGAGGGATTTGGAAGATGCCTTTGGTGCCTTTATGTACTGAAGAATCATAGCACCGGTGGGATGACAGCCTTTCAATCCCCACATGGCAGCATTCATTTTAACACCTGTGTGTTTCCTTCCTGTTCCTCTCTTTTCCCTCTCATGGTACCATATGTCTCTCTGTGTTTCCAGTTTATCATATTTTCACGGGGTTGAATGCTTTCCAAACAGAGGGTCATGGAAAAATGGAGTAGTCATGAAAACTGCATGTAATGGGACTAACACAGGTTTGGTGACACAGTGAAGAGCAGACTCCTTGTGACTGGCCTTGGAGATTTGGAAAATGAAAAAAACCCTACTCAGCTGTAGTCTTAATCTGAGGGACCCGAGGTGGCAGAAGGACAGGGCTCTTCTCTGGCAAGCACAGGAGTTTTACCATAGCAGCAAGCTACCTGAGACTGCAGCTGCTGATTGAGTTCTCGGAGTATCCTGCTATCATCCTTTATAGCTTGAGGAAACAGAAAAGACTCCTGTAAAAGACGTTCATGGGCAGAAACCTTTCCATAATGCAGCTAGTTCTGGAAAGCACTTGGAATAGGCTGGTGACTCAGAAGGGTCTTTGTACATGCCAGAGAAAGTCTCTCTTTAAGCTCCTAGTAACTTGGAGGGGTGTGTGGCATCAAAGAGGCCATGGAACGATGCGCTTTTATTAAATTCAAAGACCAGTTCCCTTTCCAGGAAACGTGGGATAAAAGCCTCTGTTCCAACTCATGTATTTGAACTGAAGCACCACAGTATGTTGTGAGATGAGAAGAAATGAGCAGTGAGAGATGAAGTATCAAATGACCTTTT